TTTAGGGATTTGCCGGTGAGTTTTCTTGACTCGTAAGCTTGAATTTTGTTGTGACGATGTCACCTCGCTCTGATTATGTCCGTCATATGACGGACGAAAGCTTAGCACTTGTTCACCGGAATCGAAGGAGATTGCTTTGGAAACAGTGTCTGCATGAATCTTCCAGTAAAGCCAATCGACAGCTGGTTAAGAGGAATTCGCTGTCATCTTCTGGTGGAACCGATCTTCGAATCTCTTCACCCAACACTTCTACTCGAAATGGAAGTAAGCTCAACAATTCACATTTAGTAATCTGTTCTCTTTTAAGCTGTTAAACGAACATGAGATTCTCTAACCAGAAGTTGGACATAATATTTTAGCTTTGTTTTTGATGGTAGTGCCAATCTGTTGCGTTTGATTGTGATAAATTTGGAGCACAAAATTATGTTCACTGTCTTTAATAAAGGTTTAAAATAACGCCTATTTCTTCTTTGCTGTTAAAGGATTTGACCTCAATCGCGTTGTGTTATTATTTTTGGCACAACTTTTTTTTAGCATTACTCATCTCCCATCCATTTTTTTCATTTTCACTATTTGGGGCGGCATCTATCATTAATACCAGAATTTACTCGATTTTTTTGTTTTTTTGTTTTTTTACCGCTCTAGCAAAAAGTTATGCTCTGCTTTCGGGCTTGGGAGGATTGGGCGATATATCCGGGAGATTTTCTCTTCCAGTTGCAGACCTCTTTTCTCGGAATCGCCAATGAGGTATAATAGTATTCATCTAGCGCTCGATTTATTAAAAATAGTCTTCATTGTCGGTTTGTATTTACTTGTGCATTTTTCTCTTATTTTTAGCCTTTAAATGAGGATGGCGATCCTCTCTTCTCTGATGACATTGATGGGGCGGCTCTTGATGACGAGTTAACTTCTCGATTGCCTTCGAATGAAATGACTACTCTCGGCTCTGATGTCGAGGCACTAGAAGCGACTCCGCTTGTCCAATACGATGGAGATGCGGCCGATCTTGACGGTAGTCCTTTGGTCGAACATGAAGACGAAGATGATGCAACCGAAATGTTTCCCTTGTTAGTGGTTATTTGTATCTATCCTTCTAAGTCTAATGCCATATTTTTCATTCCCATTTTTAACCCATATCTCTAGTATGAACTAAATTCCATAGTATTGATCGACCGATGTTTTTTACCAGCGTTTCTTTGTCCGTTTAGGAGTACAGGTAGAAAAAATATATTATTAACACTATGTACCATATATATCTAAAATTGCCTCTTAGATTAAGACTACAGTCTGGCGCCCTTCTGTTCTCATTCGGAGTAGGACCAAGAAAAGACATTTACTTACTTCACCATACGCTCTAAGCTCATCATTTTCTGACAAGGACAACTTTGAAATTTTATAATATCTTTAGTTTTCTATTAGAATTTTAGTTCTTTACCTTATATGCTAATGGACTGTCTTTCAAATCCTTCACATTTTCTGTATTGCACTTAACTTGAATGCACCCAGATTCGCTCACCCTAAATCTGAATCAACTCTTCCTTCGTCATCACAG